TCCGTAGTAATGATAAATTCCCCAAATCAGCGCGATTACGCTACTTAATAACTCTTACTTCACCACATAGCGATATGCCGTAATTCACCGAGAAGCCATGAAAGTCAAGTACTAAGACATGAGTTGCACGAACCGGGTTGACATGATCGATAAGAGTTTTGACAGACGGATCCGAAAGAAGCCGATCAACCGTGTCACAAACAATGTCCTCTATGCGATCCATCAACTCATCAAAAGTGATAAATGCACACTCCGCCTCGACATGAGCATATTCGGCCAGATGTCGACGTGTTCGTGATTTTTCAGCACTGTAATGAAACACGCTGTATAGAAAAACGGTGAAGAGGTTCCAATAACTTACCGATATGACTGTGCGATGCAGTACACATCTCCAAGTGAGGCGTTGCAGGTCTCGAGGTACAATTGGGATGACTGCGTGAGGTACGACTGCTCACCGAAGAAATCAAGAGCGAACAAAGTTGCTCCACCTTCCACCTGAATTGAAAAAGAAAAGATCCAAGGAGGAATCTAAGCAAACAACGGCAGCATTGAAGAATTTTCAAGAGCACAGACAAGGCCACACTTTTGCAACATTCGCTTAGTAAGTTAGGCGTACAAAACTCCTCTTACCATACAGACGTAACTCAAAGCTGATACTCACCTGAGTTTGCACAAGTGTTGGCGGACAAACTTCAGTATAGCCGGCATGATAGAAGTGTTCTCGCATTGCCCGTGTCGCTGCGGCTCTTATGCGCAAAATGCGAGACGCATTCTCACCACGAATTACGAGATGCCTTGAAAACAGCAAGCATTGCTATCCTTCTCAAAATACGGAAAAGACGTCCCTTACAAAAATTATACATACTATAAGTGTCGTAAAATGTGCACGCTACCTGTTATCGAGCATTACTTCTACTCCAGCTTCCTCATTGAGGACGTTGTCAATGCCACCGGCTGGGGCAGATCCTATCAGTTGCCAATAATCCACTATCAATTCATGACCATCTGGTGCTTGCTTTCCTTCAGGTACCTAAATATACAGCAACGAATTCTAGAAAACCTTACTCATCTTGTGACTGGATATTGTGCGAGCGGTCAAGACCTTAAGTCTCTGTACCTATAAACTATCTAGAATCCGTTGAAAGCCTCACCTTTTTGATAGTACCATAAACCTCAACCGAACTCTCTGTACTTAATGTAACCGCATCGTAACTTTGACACTAAAAATAGGAGACTATTTCGAGTTGCCACCACGTCAGAACAAAAACCCAAGCTAATTGAAATAATGAATAACAACAGCTCCAATTAGAACCCACCAGAAGGTCACTAAGAACACATTGAAGGTAACCAGAGCCGTCCCGAAGCACCCAGAACATAAGCGCCTTTCCTAAAAAAAACTTTTTTCATCAGCTGTAACAAAAGAGAGTGTGGAAGGGAAGTTGCGCAATTTTCAAAATGTTGAAGGCTTAGTTTCACGAGAGCAAATGGAGTATCTTTACCCTTCATTTTAAATGGAATGCAACTCACAAAAATTCTGAAATCACCCGCCCTACAGGCTAGTCTTGCGAGCGACTCCCAAGTCCTGATGGATTCCATGTGCAAGCCTCACATTCGCTCATATCACCTTCATTGTTTGACGTTCCTGCCTATGCCTTGCCTATACGAGCACACTTTTCCCTTTACTTGCCAATGAAGCACAAACGAAAGCTCATAACACTTCCACGCCCTGAATGTAGTGTGGATGCTTCGCGTTAAATGGCAATACCAGCGATATTGTCAAATTTCGACTTTCTCAAGTTTGAATTGGGCTCTCGGTGTATTCCCATGATTGTTACTTATACCCTTCCAAACATTGTGCCTATAAGATTTGGTTTACGGACTACTTGATTTTTCCTCAATGGTCCTGCCGCGATGGCTAGAGCACAGACGATTAGAGAACGGGTGAATGCCCTAGGACTAAGCCTTGGAGAGGAGAGGGACCCGCGAGAGAGCGCAGAGGCGGTTTAAAGGGCTGAGTTCAAGTAGTCCGTCGACCATAAGATTTAGAATAAAAATTAGTTGGTAATTCGATGGAAAAAATTCTACAATATAATGGACTGTCAATTTCGACAGCCATGGATTGACATCAGCTCTCCGAAAATGCAAGCAAAACCGTCACTTTATCACAAATCAACATTATAGGTAAAAAAAAATAACACTACAATAGCACCACAAAATTTCAGGGTATTTCTAAAGCCGGTTTTTACATCTCCCCCTTTTTATGGAGTACTTTAACAGCGCAATTTTTGGCATTATGTTCAATAATTCGACTGCCAAAAACTCAAAATACCCTGAACTTATTTTCCGTCAGAGCTATGACCATAGTTGTAATTTAACGCGCCGATAACGACTACGGTATTCATTTCTGACGCAAATTAATGCACCCCCTATCCTTACCAAATCCGCTGTAAACTTATATAATGAGGTCCTGCGTTCCGCAATTGGGCATATCAATATCCTCTACAGGCTCCAGAGGGCGCCTACGCCAAAAACGATGCATATTTTTGATGAAAATCCTAATGCCCCCTACAGAAGAAGTTTCAGCAGGTTTTTTGTAACATTTTTGGTGTTTTGTTGCTGCAAGTGCCTGGAGACGTAACAGTGTTAGTTAACTCTTATGGGTACCTTTTACGTGTGTTCCAGAGGTAAGTGTACGGGTACACGGTACGCGGCTATTAGTTTAAGGCGCTACTTGCGTTATCTATGTTATACTAACACTGTTATGGTCAATGATGGCGTACCTTGACCACACAGTGAATAAATAAATAAATAGTACCAAATAAAGGACCCAAAACAGCTACCTTGCCTTCGTAATCGATGCACCCATGCTTTCAAATGTACGCGTTGGTCACGGTGTTTTACACATTCGGAGATCTTCACAAGTGTAGCTGCAGGTAGCGACTCATCCATCGAGAAAGTGATCTATCAATAATAGTATGAAAAGAGATGAAAATGAAGAAGACTCAGCTACAGGCTGAGGAAACTGCAAAACAATTCAATTGCATATGTATGGAAAAAATAAGGAAAGAAAAAACCTTTTTAGCCTCCTCCAAAGCTGCGTGAGAAGCAGCTTCCTGTTCCTTCGCTCGTCCAGCAGCCTTTTCTGCCTTCTTGAGTTCCGCTTCGTATCTAGGAAGAACTATCGATATGGAAATGACGAGAAACCTATTCTAGAAACATTGAAAACAAAACCAACTTCTTCAAGTTTTTCTTGATGGCGGCCTTGGCAGCTGGCTCCCACGTTTTCGTACCATCCTCTTTAACCGTTCTAACCAAAAACTCGCCGGAGTTCTTTGATAAAACCATGGCCTGAAAAAACAAAAGGGAATATGCGTATACAGTGCGTTTCATAACTATAAGGTCACCCTAAAATATTGCATTTCCGGGACCAGCAGCCAACTGGTGATTTTTCCACTATCACCAAATGATTCCCCACTACGAATAACCCCTGTATCGCAATTTTGGTGGGAGCAGCTTTTCTTCGAACTTTTTTGTAATTATTTTTCGATTTTTTGCACCGTTTCATAATATAAGGTCACCCTGAGGAAAAAGAACAATTACCTAAGATTAATGACAGATAAAATAGACATAATAATGTATGGTTCCTCCTTTATCAAGGGCAACATTCGAATAGTCTCCGTGGCCTACCGGAATTGAGATTCCAAGGCAGATCACCATCGATTCACTTCCGTGTTCAAGGGTTGCTTGTACACGCTCTTGTGTAATTTTTAACTGGCGTTTATCCGCACTATTACTCATGACGAAGATGCCCCTGAGATGTTCTACTAGAACACGACTAGAAATTCAGAAAAATTTGTTCAGTTCATCAGGGTTTCGAGAGAAATGCTGCTTCTGGTTGAATGACCTACATGGGTACCTGTACTGTTCTGTATGACCACGTAGGCTAGCCGACTTCATCAGCTCAAGGAAGAGGTCAAATGTCCTCGCAAGGCTCTATGCTAATCTTTGGAGTCCATTATGCAGTTTATGGAAGCGAAATTTTGACACAACATCATCACAAAAAGCACCCACACCTTTCACATTTCCTTAACTAAAATTGCAAGCGCTGAAGTGAATCGGCCACCTTCGCAAGTCACTTCAAAAGTGTTTATATTCGCAGGATCTGTTTGTATAAACCAGTTTTGTCCAAAAAATACCAACTTACTGGAATTATCTTGCTATATGGTGCGACTGTGGAGCAGACTCAACCTTGTTCAAACTCTCTTCAAGTTCAACTTTACGGGTTGAAGTTGTGCCACTTTGCAATGGCCACTGAGCCTTCGGACCATCTTTGTTGCTTTCCTGGTAATGTTGTTGCATAATTTCACCGCACTCCAGTTCATATTTTTCAAGATAGAAACCTTAAATCAGGCACGACGCCGATTTGAAGCGGAAATACTGCACGGGACAGCCCTCATAACTCTTCTCTAATCATTTATACAGGGGTGGCCAAAAAAAGAGACACTTTGCCTATGGCGCACATCATCGAACTTTTTGTCGCACAGGGCGCCGATGTTAATGAGTTTTATGGCGGAATATTCCCTAAGATGTTCCCACGTAAGCAGAAGTAGGCCCTTTTTCACTGCCTCCACCGTCTTCAAAATATGACGTCATCTGTCGTCACCGTCGAGCTCAACGAGGCTTGCTGTAATCGCTCCGGCCTGAAGCTGCTACATGATTTCTTCAATTGATTAGATGGTGAATAACTTCTAGGAGACACTAGCGCTGTTACTGTGCAAGACCGCTTTTTAACTAGGTTTTCCCGGTGAGGTCGTAATGTCCTATGGTACATCGACGACCTCGTTGAGCTCGTACCGTGAACCATGTTTCCGTGGGAAAATCTTCTGATGTAGTCGGTGCAGAAGGCTGTCACGTGACATTTAGATAGATTAGAGTGTGCTCTTTAATACTAAGTTGGGTTCAGTCGATTTGATTCTAGCAAAGTGTGATTAATGCTGGCTGAACTTTGAAGTGAAGTGTCTCTTTTTTTTTGGCCACCTGTAGAAACCATTTTGTGGATGTTCTGATATTGTAGAATATCTGGAGACGTAGGAGCTTTTCAATTATCCATGAGCAGTGCTAATGACTGTCCGAAGTTCTTTGGAAAGACTCGCGAACCGTGCCAAGCACCATGAAATGCATAAACTTTACCTTTTCTTCAAAAGGCGAGTACGAAACATTCCATAAATTTAGCTACTGGGTGTGTTTGTAACAAACATTCAATTTCACAGGCAGGGTTGATAATGTAGTATTCATTTTCACAGGGTGACCTTATATTATGAAACGGTGCAAAAATCGAAAAATAATTACAAAAAAGTTCGAAGAAAAGCTGCTCCCACCAAAATTGCGATACAGGGGTTATTCGTAGTGGGGAATCATTTGGTGATAGTGGAAAAATCACCAGTTGGCTGCTGGTCCCGGAAATGCAATATTTTAGGGTGACCTTATAGTTATGAAACGCACTGTATAACTGAAATCAGAAAAAAGGAAAGAAAAAAGGGTCTCATCCAGTAAGAGGGACACTGTGATTGAGAAAGGTCGGCGCGTTTGAACCATGGAATACATATTCGTTTACTGTTGATTTTTAGGCTTTAGTCTTACGAGGGATAGCAGCCCCTGCGGGCCGCGAGTAGTCTTCGTTTTGCTCAAAGGACTTCCTTCTCCTCTTCAACTTAGCTACTCACCAAAAACATTACTCTTCATAGACGTTTACGTCATCCAGCACAAGAATACAAACGTTATGAATAGAAAAATTGAAGAAAGAATACTGAGCCAAATTGGCGGTAGAGCAAAGCACCGCAATATCCCCCTCCTCCCACTGGAGAAGACCGAAAAAATGACAGATAGAAAACAAATGAATTTCAAAAAACAACGTAATTATTTTGTTTCACCTGGAAAAGTGTACCAAGGGGTCGCTCTTCACTCCCGTCATTTTCATCTGAGCCGGTGTCAGGGCAAATGTACAGCTTAGTCATACCGGAACTGCTCCCTAGCTAGAAATAATTTTACCCTGAAAAACAATAGTTGTGAATCAATAAGTCGAATAGCATTCGATCGCTAATAAGCGAAGAACGAAATTAAAAGACCAGAGCATGAGGCAAAAACCAAAATTTCATCCAAAACTGCTACCGATAGAATTTCTGAACACCGCTCAATAGGGGTCGAACACCGCATAGTTGAAATGATCAACACTCAATAATATGAATTCAGGATTCGGCACTAGGGTATGGTTCGTTAGGATAGAAAGAGACTTTGTTGCGCTTTGCAGTGCAAAATATTTTTCGCTACAGGGACCTCAGATCCACCGCTGGACACGGAGTTCTCCAGTGAAAAATGTTTTGCGCTTTCTGTCCTAACGATCCTAACGAACCCCATCCTCGACACTTTCTCCCTATTACTGCCTCGGAATCTCACTACTTTATTTTTCGTTGAAACATGCCTGTAGGGTTAATTCGATATACTGGTTACGAATATACATTCATGCTTGACGCTGGTGCTACTTATCACGACGGCTGTTTTAAACAAATTCGAGTAAACTTGTGGGTGCTAACTTAGTTGGGGGGGACCACGCGGCGGCGCGGCAGTCTGCTCACCTGGCGCTCTCTCGAGCGAGACAGTGTAAACTCGAACATTCCAGCTTTTCACGCATGTCAAGTGACTGCCCTCACCCCCCACCCCCTAGACTGCCTACAGTCCCCCTGGCTCACGGATTTCCCGAAGTACGCAAAGATGCCAGCGCGAGCCGCCGCCGCGGGCCCCCCCCCAACTAAGTTAGCACCGATCTCTGAAGTAATTTCCGTGGAGTTTTCGGAATTAAAGCTGTCTAACGCAGATTTTCTGCTCTCCTGGGTTCTATCACTTACGTGTAGGGCCTAAGGCTAACCATGAGCTTTTGGGGAAGGTGAACTCTCCTTGGTGGGGTGGGTAAATAACGCACTGTAAGGCAAAACGATGAAGTGCGTAACTATGTATGCAATAGTAGTATGCATGCGCAGTATGAAGAAGACTGGCGAAGAAGGAGTTAGTCAGCGGCGAAACGAGCGCGAACCCCTCCCAGCGATAAAATGGAGCAACAAAAACCACAAATAAAACCGCCATCTGCGACTTACCATCGGCAAACCATGTCAACAGCCCCTCGCCGTGCGGTGGGACTACGATTTTCAAGGAACTATGCTTCAATGACGGGGAGTGAGGCGTGTTCGGTCATGTATTACGTTCCATGTGCATGAAACAGAAAAATGCCAATGAAGAGAAAATATTCGTAATCAGAACACCAAATAAGACCCATTACAGTATACACCGAATCAGGTGAAAACAGCCGTCGTGACGAAGTGGCGCGAGCGTCAAAAATGATAGAATACTCGAAGCCAGACATCCGGTTCACCTCTATAGACAAAGTTTCGACGAAAATTAGAAGTTTCGAGATGTTGGGGACTCCTGTAATAGTGGAACAGTGCCGAAACAAGGCATGCTCAACCGACACACGACACCATTGCCGTTTATTGACTTTGAAAAGAAAAGAGACAAGTACTTACATAAGATGACGTAATAAACTAAGGAATAACAACCTAGCTGATTGCTCAAGCTGATTTCGAGCCAAATTTAGTCAGATTGTGCAATTGACGGTGGAGCAATGCGGGTACGGTATCCAATTGGCGATGGAGCGTCTGTTTATGGTCCTTTAATAAATACGCTGGCTCGGTTGGCATTGTTCCCACACTACAACTTATGGCTTGCTTAGTCGCGGAAGAGCGATTGTAATGGAATGAGGTCTCACCCAGTAAGGGGGGGGGGGGACATTGCAGTTTAGAGCGTTCAATGGGTAAAAAGACGGGAATCATTTTCGGCGAAAATGTGGTTGGGGGGGGGGCACTGAGATCTAGTAAAAGTGGAGGGGGGTGGTTTCACTAGGACAGAAAGCGACCTCTTCGCGTTTCGCAGCGCGAGACATTCTTCGTGAGGGAACCTTGGGTCGACTGGTGATCAGCGGTGGACCTGAGGTTTCCACAGCAAAAAATGTTTCGCGCTGCGAAACGCGAAGAAATCGCTTCTGCCCTAGTGAACCACACCCAAAGTGGAGTTGCGGAAAGGCACTCTTCTTCTCCCTTTGGCCTCAGGAGATCAAAAGCGCGTCGAGTGCAGAACACACAGCACCAAAGGTGATGACGGCCTCCAAGTAAATCTTGTAACTGGTATCCGTCGTCACTTGTGGTGTGTGTTCTGCACTCCACATGCTGCTGGGTTTTCTGAAGCAGTGTATAATCAAAGTAAAGACAAGACCCCAGAATGAACACAGCACATGGCAA